AGAGCCCAGCAGTCCCGCTTACACTGTTTCTCCGGCCCTGCCCGCTGCAGACAGGAGCGCCACTTGTCTACAAGGGACCACTCCCCTCCAAAGGCCCCCCACACCTCTCCATTCCCAAGGGCACCTTGGTCTGCCGCCTCTTAACCCCAAATCCTTTCCCTGGGGAGCAGGTGACTCCCTCTCCCATTATCCGCGACATCCGGCCCATTCTCTCTCCGCGGGATCTCAGGTCCGCCCTTTCCTCTGCCTGGTCCCCTGGTCTGCATCTGGCTGCTCCCCCCTCCCTGCACACCCCTGACTCATCCCTGCCACTTCACAGGCCATTGTTAAGCTGGAGGGGAGCTCTGAGGTCATGGTATCCAGCCTCCATTCCACACTGCACCCCCGCTCCACAACACCCCTCTCCGTCTCTGCTTAGAGGTGCCTAGGGATGGGGTGCTTACTACCTCTACTAGGGGGGACGGCTCCAGCTTTTGTCAACTCTTTCCTGGATTGAACCCAGGCTTGCCTCCCTGTTGAGGCCCTTGGGACTCACCTCGATCTCCTCCTGAGAATTGGGACTCTGAGCACAGGCACACCTGGTCTGAGCCCAGGTCTTGCCTTGGCAAGTCACTGCACCTCCCCACTCCCTGGGGTCTCTGGATAGAATGGAGGTGGGTCATCGCCACCGCATGGGGGGAGGACCAGAGGGGTTCCTGGGTGAGGCGCTAGGGCAGGGCCTGGCACACAGCAGGTGATGGATAAATCCCGGTGGCTAGACTCACTATCTCTGTGGGCGGACTAGGCCTGAGGCATCCACCTCCAGGTTAAACACCCCACACATGTGGTGGTCCCGTGTCACAAGTGTCCTTCTTCACGTCCCCTTGTGACCTGGGTACTCTGAGTAGTCTCTAGCCACAGTGCTCAGTACAAGAGAGCCCAGCAAGGGGCTGGGGAGTCCAGACACCGTCCCTGGTCCCTTGCATGAGGGCAGGGAAAACCCACGACGCTGCCTCGGTCTCCCCTGGCCTTCCTCCAAGCTCCACCTGTCCTGGGAACACACTGGGCAGGCAGTAAACATCTATCTGGCCAGGAGGGTTGGGCAGGATCTGGGATAGAGGCTGGGGAGGCTTCGGGTCTCGGGGAGAGTATGGGGGCACGCCCAAAGCCTGGGGTGACTTTGCTATCTCCCCCTAGACAGTAGGTGAACGACATGATTGTACGCCATGCTGGGCTCTGTGCTGAGCACTTTCTGTATGGGGCCTCTTTTAATTCTCCTACAGTGTTAGAAGCTCATTTTCCAGATGAGAAAACTGAGGCTCAGAGAGATGTAGTGATTTGCCCAGGGTCACACAGCTGGAAAAGAGCGGGCTTGAATCTGGAGCTCACAGATGTGGACTACTCCACATATCTTGAGAGGGCAGGGGCCCCATTTCTCTCCTGGGTTCTCTGTGGCATATAGTCCAGACCTCTTCCTGGGCCATACCTGGCCTTGCTCCTTGCAGCCCTCACCTGCTCACCCAGCTTTCCTCCCTCTCAATACCTCCTATTCCTCAGAACTCCAGCTGCCTCCTCCCGGAAGCCCATCCTGTCATCCCCTCCCCCCAGCGTGTACTCCAGAGGCAGGAGGTGGGTGATTCACTTCTGAAGCTCTGGCACCCAGAAGAGCCTTGAACTACACGTCAGGGGTGGGCCCAGAAGCTGCAAGGTCCAGCCCTGCTTGAAGATGGCCCTTCCCCAGGACAGCCTGGGGGTGGGGTGGGCAGTTCGGCAAACCAAAGCCACTTCCCTTCCTCCACCTCCAGGCAGAGCCAGGATGTCAGCTCCGAGAGGACATCTCCTTTCGCTGGAGATGTCCTAGGCCTGGGGGGAGCAGGGGTGGGAGTTAGTCACCTCCGGAGAGTGAGAGTAGGGCTCTCGCCCAGACTCCACTCCTCCAGGCCTAGCTCCGCCCATCACGCTGGGTGATGTCGGCAGGTTCCTCCACCTCTCTGAGTCTGTTTCCTTACATGTCATGAAGAAATAGGAATAACACTTTTCTCCTGAGGTTCCCATGAGGGTTTGCCTAGACAAGCATGAGGGCCCAACTCCTCGCCTGGTGTGGAAGCATGTTCCGTCAGTAATGGCTATTATTGCCATCAACAATGATCTTTTTTGCTTCTCTTTCTCACCAAGTTGAGTGTCCCTCACCTCCTCTCAACTCCGGTCTCTCCCTTCCTGGACCTCCCTTACCTTCCGCTCTGCCTATCCGTTTTCACGACCACTCAAGGCCACCTCCTCCAGGATGTCCTCTCTGACTGGCTCTCCTGCCTCTGATCACTAGGCCATCTTTGTCCCTGTGGTGAGTCTGTGCCATTTGTCCCAAAGGGAGTCCCAGTGGTGGCAGGGCCCAGACTTTCCCCCTGCTGGCTGGGCGACCCTCTGGCTGCTGATGCCAATGTCTCTGTGCTGAGTTCCGGGCGGGCCAGGACAGGGCTGAGCTGGGTCCTGGAAGCTACAGAGGGCCCACACCCACTCTGAGACCAGCTCTCTCCTCACGGACCTCACCTCTATGCAGTCTGGACCCACCTGCCCACCCCCGGCCCTGCCGTCGGTAGCTTGGGGGCCCGCCTGGGAGCAGTTGCCCAGAGGAGGGACTGGGACAGTGATTCTGGGCCCCCCTGGCCACCCCTCCAGGTCAGACCGAGGCCTTGGGGCTCTGCAGACCCCAGCAGGATGCATGTCAGGGGGAGCTGCGGCCAGTGTGTTGCCAAGAGCCCCCATCTGGGAGAGGGGCAACCAGCCAATACCAGAGCCCATGCCAGGCACCATCCATGCCAACAGATTGTATCTGACATCACAGCCGCCCCCTTGCCCGTGACCACGGCAACTGGAGGCCGCTCCTCCGCTTCCCTCCCCTCCCACCCCCAGAACAGCTCTCCATGTCCCCTCTCCCCATGGTCCTCCTGTGCAGGATGAATGTGTGTCTGGGTGGAAGTGGGGGCAGGGGAGCTGGGAGGTAGGAGGGTGGCATTTTGCATTTCCTACTGCTGGCAGAGTTGAGTCGCAGTGGTTAGGAGCACAAGCCCTGGCATTACACAGATCTGGGTCCCAGGTTTGAAAACCAGCTCTCCCACTTCCTAGCAATCTGTCTTGGGTCAGCTACGTCACCGCCCGGAGCCTCAGTTTCCCCACCTACTAGTGGGCACGAGGATAGGCCCCGTCTCAGAAGGTTGAAGGGAGGAGTCAGTGAGGCCTCAGCTGGGCCTGACACTTCGTTGCCCCTTACTGCCAATCAAATGCATGCTGGGTTCAAACCCAGGCTCCATCTCTCATGAGCTGTGGGGTGTTGGCCAAGTCACACGACCTCTCTGAACCCTGATATCTTCATCTGGAAAACGAAGTGACTGACGATGCCATCCCTTCAGAGCTGCCACAAGCAGTTCATGAGGCACAGAAAGCGTGTGACGCAGAACCCCGCACATCCCAGGCAGCAGTGCCCAGGCAATATTTTTATCACCACCCACTTCTTGCCCCCTCCTCCTGATTTATGTTTTGCCCCAGTCCCAGCTCCCAAGCCCTGGCAGGCACTCCAGGCTCTACAGGCCCCTTCCTCCCTCTGTCATCTCCAGGACTACAGTGACAGTCACCCAAGTCCCAAAGCGCCCCAGATCCATGCCCAGGCCCCAAGAGTGACCAGTGCCACAGGAAGGATGCCTGGACTGGAGCCTTGGGAGACCGCTTCCCTGGGGCCTCAGCTTCTTCATCTGTGCACGGGGTCACGGCTCCCGTCGCCTCAGGATGGCTGCGAGAACCACAGTGCAGCCGAGGGCTTTGGGGCACCCTGTCCCCCTGTTCTTGCATTATTTCCCCACTCCCCTGTTCCTGAGCCCCTCTGCCTCATACACCAGCCACCCTGTGGCCCCACCTGCCCCTGAGCCCAGAGGACACTGTGGCCTGGCCAGCAGCACCTTTGCCAGGGCTCCATGGATATCCAGTGCTGGGGCAGAGAGGGCAGTTAGAGCCCTGTCCCTTCCACCCCATTGCTCCCAGCTGTCCAGCCTCCCTACCTTGGCTGCCCGCCCCTTGTCCATGCAGGCGGGATTCTGACAGCGAAGTCCCTTCTCATCCGCCGGGCTCTGGTCGTCTGCAGAGGAGGAGCAGAGGGCATCAGTTCGCAGGGGCACCTAGGCTCCCCTGGGCCCCAGTGGCCTTCCGACCAGAGGAGGGGTGGGGCAGCCTTCTCGGCCCTCCCTCAAAGGAGGTCAGTGTCCCTTTCTCTTTTAAATGCCAACTTATCTGCACGGGAATCTGTTTGCAGGGCCCTTTTCTTGCTGCAGTTCCCCAGGGAAATTGTCCAGATTCCACAGGGAGAAAACATCTTTGGAAATGAGCTGTCCCTCCCTCTGCCCCACTAGTGGGGGGGTGCTCAGCGACCTTGAGGGGCACCAGACTTCCTGGGGGATCCCAGCAGGGCTGCTGGGCGGAGGGGACTCCAGGGGGGCCCAGGATCCCCTCCTAAGCCTACCCAGCACATCCCTCTCTTTAGGGACAGACATTCCCTCCCGTGGTCTGGGATGGCCCCCTTTCCCTGCCGCCCATCTTTGACCCTGAACTTAGCCCTTCTAAGCTGCCTCCTGGCCTGGGAGCTGGAACACCGCAGCAAGCGGGCAGGGAAGGGGGCAGAGAGGCTGCCCGGCCCAGCCAGCCCCAAGCAGGGGGGAGG